ATATTATATTTTTTATGCATAAGATATTTGAAAAGAGTTTATGTATCAATTTTTTTATAAGCGAAGAAAATTTAAAGTATATTTTGAATTTACTTTAGTAAAATTATTCTTGAAAATTTCATGAAATTTTTCTTATATTTTATAAGATAAAATAAATAATGAGTGGGAGCGGGTTTTATGATAATAAAACCCTTGGTCTCCATTGTTAATTCAACATCGTGAGTCTTAAGTGGCGCCTAGCAACGCAAAGATTTCGTTCCGCTACGGAAGGTGTCCATTTAATTAAATAACAATATTGATTTCTTTTATATAAATTTTTAATATATATTTTAAAATTGACCTACCCTATGACAGCAATTTTAATTTAAATTTTAGAAAATTATAATAATGAGTCACACTAATAAATATATATATTAAATGTGTTAATTATATCTTTACCAACTAAACGGTTATTAATAAATAAAGATAAATATGAGATATTTATAATATTATTTATTAAATGATAAAATATCAATTTAATTTTATAATAATATGACTGACCCTACGACAGCATATTATTGATAAAATTAGTATAATCGTGGCATTCATAGTTTTTTAAATTTGTTTAAGGCATAGATCATACATGTATATGAATCATGCTTATATATACCAAATTTGAAACGATATATCATGCTAATTTTTTAAAATATGTTTATTTATTTATTTCAGTTATCATGACAAATCCATTCTTACAATCTTATCAAATGAAAAGTTAACTGGGGAAAATTTTGTGAAATAGAAAAGTAATATGAACCATGTATTGATTTGTGAAAATCATAAGTTTGTTTTGAATGAGGAATGTCCTCCACTTCCTACTGCTAATACTTCTCGTACTATACGAGATGCCTATGAAAAATGGATTGACTCAAATAACAAAGCAAGGTGTTATCTCCTTGCTAGCATGTCTGACATGCTAAGATCGTAACATGAAAATATGATAACTGCATATGAGATTATGGAATCTCTCCAATCCATGTTTGGGTAACCTTTTGAACAAGCTCGTCATGAAGCTATCAAAGCAGTTATGAACTCCAAAATGAAAGCGAATGTCTCAGTTCGAGAACATGTTCTCAAAATGATAAATTATATTCATGAAGCTGAGATTAATTGAGCAATCATTGATGAGGGAACTCAAGTGGGGATGATTTTAGAAACTTTATCCTCACGATTTTTACAATTCAAAAGCAATTACTTTATGAATCATCTAAAGTATAATCTTACTGAATTGTTAAATGAGCTTCAAACCTTTGAATCAATTTCAAAAGAAAAAAAAGCCAGAATCAAATGTTGTTGAAGTTTATCATTATTCTACTTATAAGAATAATAAGAGAAAGAAGAAAGATAAAAATATAAAATTCATAAAAAGAAGCAAAGGCAGCAAGAATAAAAGCAATAAAAAGAATAAAAGCTCTAAAAAGGAATCTAAAGGAAAATGTTTTCATTTTGGGATCGAAGGGCATTGGAAGCAAAACTGCAATAAGTATCATGCAGAGCTAAAAGAGAAGAAGAAGGAAAGGAAAGGTAAATTTGATTTATTAGTTCTTGAAACATGTTTAGTTGAAAGTGATTTGTCATCCTGGATAGTTGATTCAGGTGCAACTGATCATGTATGTTCTTCATTGCAGATACTTAATTCTTGGAGAAGACTTGCTAGTGGAGAACATGTTATGAGAGTAGAAACAGGAAGTACAATATCAGCTCAAGCAGTGGGAGCCGCTAGGCTTGAATTTGAAAATAAATATCTAGTATTGCATAATATTTATTTTATTCCAGGATTTTCTAGAAATATTGTGTCTATTTCAAAGTTGTTTGAACAATGTTTTGAACTCTCTTTTTATAATAATGAGATTGTTATTTCTAAGAATGGTTTGAATATTTGTTCTACAATATTGAAAAATAGACTCTTTATGTTAAAACCCATTGAAAACACACTGCTTAACTCTTAAATATTCAAAGTTGAAAAACCTAAATAAAAATGGCAAAAAATTTCATATGAAGATAACACATATCTATGGCATCTTAAACTTGGTCATATAAACTTAAATAGGATTGAGAGACTAGTAAAGGATGATCCTTTAAGAAAACTGACAGTCGGAACTCTACCAGTCTGTGAATCATGTTTGGAAGGAAAAATGACTAAAAGAACTTTTTATGGAAAAAGTCAAAGAGCAAAAGAAATCCTTGAACTTATACATTTAGATGTTTGTGGTCCATTTAATATACAAGCAAGAGGTGGTTATGAATATTTTGTCATTTTTTTATAAGTATTCAAGATATGGTTATATTTATTTAATGACAATAAAATCTGAAACTTTTAGAAAGTTTAAAGAATTTTGTGCTGAAGTTGAAAATCAATTAAGCAAGTCATTAAAAATACTTCGATCAGATCGTGGTGGTGAGTATTTAGATACAGAATTCAAAAATTATTTAATTGAAATGGAATTCTATCTCAACTCACTGCACCTGCAACTCCACAACAAAATGGTGTTGCTGAAAGAAGAAATCGAACATTGCTTGATATGGTTAGGTCTATGTTAAGTTACTTGTCCTTACCAAATTCCTTATCAAAGCATGAATTTAAAGGCTTGATTTCAAATTTCTTAATTGTGATAAATTACTTTGATATATTATTCTATAAGATATTTTTTTCTGGAATCAAATTTTGAACGGATCTCTTTCTTATCCAATATGTTTTTTTAGTTAGGTCTTTTATTTTCAAAAGACAATTTTGCCCTGAGAGAAGTCTGAGCTAAGGCATTAAAGAGTCTTCAATGCCTTAGTCGAGATAGTTCACAAATGCGAAGACGAGAAATTAAAATTTACATAAGTTACATGTACATGAATTTGGTAAGGTAACCTTACAATCTCAATGTGCAACGCTTCAGAAATTTGTGTATGAAATACTAAAGCAAATAAAATAATCCAATTAGAATATTTTTAGCTCATATACTCATAAGTCGAGATAGTTCACAAATCCTACTTTATTGCCTTGAGAATTTTGCAAATACAAATTAGTTCACCGTATGTTATGTACGATTGTCATAGAGATGCACTGAAAATTTTGCCAGCATGCAACGCAAGTGCAATGAAAGGTACACGAGAAAATTTCGTTAAAATAATGTGTTCGCATATGCTTTGATGAGTGCGATGAATATGCAAATGTGACATTTGAGAATGCTATGCAAACTTGAGTATTATAAATAAATTTTCAAATGCCTGGCTATGATAATTGTGCAAGTGCAACAAAGGTACGTAAACGCAAAATGCACTGAAAATGCACTGAAAATGCACTGAATGCACAAATGCGATATGCGAAGTATACTAAAAAATAAGCGCATCATTGAAAAGAATTACTATTTACCCGCATGCACTTTGACTATTGTACCAAGCTCCATAATCAAAGGTCTAAGAATGTAGTGCAAGTTAAAGTTGAAAAGTGAATATTCAAATCTTTCGTCTGATCCTCCTTTTGAAAGGATTAGAATAGAATAGACTTGAATTTATAAACAAACGTACAATCATAATTAAACCGAGATATTTTTTTTAAAAGTTCACATTTTTCCTTGAAGGCCTCTTTAAATGAAATTCATCTTAAATCATAACCTCTTGGTTTTAGCACCTATATGATAGTCTCCAAAAACATTAAATGAACCTTATTTTCTATTGGTGGGAAATACATTTGAAAATATTCAAGTAGCAATCCAAATTACCTAATAAACCTTTGATGTGTTGAAAGCAAATCTCAACTTGAGGGGACTATGATCAAAATATAACTTGCAGTAAGATCACACCAAATCAATTGTTAGCAGGAAAATAGAATAGACATTGTTTAAATAATCAAAAAGATAATTTATTTAAATCTTCAATGATGGTCTTATTGATTTTAAGTCTCAACTCGAGGGGATCCTATATTTTACATTACCTCCAGATGCTGATAAAAATATGAAAATTTAAAAAATAATTCTAACATCATCCTGATGATGGTTGTGTCAAAACTTAATCACATTTGGAGGGGACAATAATTTAATTTTCAAAGAAATTCCCCCGAAATTTAAAAAATAAATACGTATGTTCCCCCATTATGTGCTTTAAGCATACAATGATAAAAATAAATAAGGTTGTAATAGTAAATTTTCATCTTGTCGATTAAAAATTTTTTATACTCCTTGATTGGGCCTAAGCATGTCTATGTATATAAGTTTAATTCAGTTTCCTCAATATTAATTTATCAAGTTGATAGCATTAGAGGTTGGGGCTTATATATCAATGATTTGAGGAAAGCGTAGTAGTGGATGCTTATGATCATATGCTATAGATTGTGTGGTCCATAGAGTTCATTTGTTAAATATATCTTCAACGTAAAAAGACATACCTTATGCAAATATATTATGAATTATTTAAGCGGTTTTGATGCATGGCTAGCCAAGTGTGCCATTTATGGCACCATTGCAAGGGGTATTATCAGCACCCTTTTTAATATATATATATATATATATATATATATATATATATATATATATTCATTTGTGCTATTTGTAAATTCCATTTCTCATGCCAATTATTTATTTATTCATTGCCTGGTGCAGGACGTCCAGTCGGACTATTTTAGCATTCTGAGTGCATTCGGATGTTCTATCTATAGGAGTACTCATAACCTTGAGCTCTTCTGAGAATGCTGAATCTATAACATATTTTAATCATTTTTCTTGAGTACTGTTTTTGTTTGTGTTTATTTCTTAAATTGACCGATGTTTTGGTTTCTATAACGTTAACCACTGATCTTTCTTTGAATCAAATGATCTTTTGATCACTTCTTCACATTATTTCTGTTTCAACTGTGCGATCTACTCCGTCATTAAGTTGTAATCATAAAAAAAAAAACTTCTGGTTCATACGTGCACACGCATGATTACTTGTTTATACTGTCACAATGGTAACACTGTCGTGCTATCAAATGCTAGGTACCGTGGATATACAATCAAGTTTGAGGCATAAAATAGTTGAGCAAGACTACCGAGGTTTGCGGAGAGCCTTGTGCAGGGGTTATGGAAACCAGCTTGCAGAAAGAATGCTTCATCACAATGGCTTCCGAACACTTGGTTACAGGTCACAGCTTGTTCAGGTATCTACCACCACTAAAGCAGATGGAATTTGCCATTCATGCCTACGCAGACTTGAATATTTATTTTAATATATTCTGTAAAAATCTTACCATCGCTCCAACTTGCTTATACAAAATCCACCTGAAGGAATTCCGATATTGCAATTTTGTAAATTGGTGGTATTTTAATTTTTCAACTACTCGCGTTGTTAATGTTTCTTTCTTTAGCAAGCAAGATGCTTTTTAGACAGTAATTGCTTGCATACTTGATATTTTGACATTTTTGGTTCTGCGTATCACCGGTGCCTAAAAGACTGATTAGTATCCCATATACCCGAAATTTTACCAAAACCGTCAGCTGAAATGGAAGCCATGCTCAAAGCATTAGCAGCAATGATCACTGAACTGTCTTCAGTTCCATCATGGATGAGTTTATTTCTTGATTTCCAGGTATAGAAAACCACAGTATAATATAAGTTGATCAAGAATAAATTTTCCTTTTCAAGCCACATACAGCAATTCATTAAAGATTGGATTTCAGGAAACCGAAATCCCCATTTGCTTAATTGGCCTAACACATCCTTCAGTTTTGAACATCTTTCCGCAATGTGTTCTTCATCCTCCACTTCATTACATCCTCTTGGAAAATTTTTCTCCCTTAACAATCTTCTATAAACAAGAAATTTTCAACTCTTGGGTTCATATTACATTTTTTCGATCCAGCTCCAATATGACTTCCAGTTAGTATGTTTAACCGACTCTTCAAACACCATAGAAGAGATAGTTTTTTCAGTTTTTTTGAAATAACAATTCCATTTTATCTTCTTCCATATCAGGAGAAATTTTTATTTGAGAGATTATATTAACCAGCTCACATCCCATACAGCTTTTTAACATCTCCACATTCCATGCTCCATTAGAAATAAAATTTGAGACTGTTAGGTTGTTGCATTCAAAAGTTGAGACAAACGTAAGACAATTGCAAATAGCTTTATCCAATATCCAAATATCATGGAGAGAATATATATTCGTTCCGTCAGCTATCTTCCATCTGATCAAAGGTTTTAAAGCATTTCCTCCATCTTTAATGATCCTCCATGCTGAAGAACCCGGCCTTGTGTTGTTAACCAAAGCACTTCCATATTTTGATTAGAGATGTTTGTGAATTAAAGAGTCTTTGTCATTTAAGTATTTCCAAGCTATTTTAGCTCTTAAAGAATTTGTTTTACTTGAGCAATTATGTAAAGATCTTCCTCCCCATTTAATTGGTAAGCACATGATTTCCCAATTGACATAATGAATTCCTTGTCTTCCATTATCTTTGCTCTAAATGAAGTTTCTACAAATCTTATCTACCTCTTCAAGAATGCTCTTAGGTACCATAGAGTTGGTACAATAGAAAGTAGTATAAGATAGTAAAATGGATTTAGTAAGCATGATCTTACCTGGTAAAGAAATCATTTTTCCTCCCCATATGTTTGTCATATTTAATGCCTTCTCAATAATGAAATGGAAATCTTCTCTTGTTAGCTTCCTCAGTGCTAACTTAATACCAAGGTAAGACATCTCCTTCACTATTTTGTATCCCAATAGTTTAGAGATCTTCTTCTTCCTTCTTCTTTTCACCATTTTACCAAAAAGCAAGCAAGATTTGTTAGAGTTAATACTTTGTCCCGTCCAAGCATAGAAAGTATCCAGAATACTTTTAACTTCCTTAATTGCCTTCATATTGGTTTCTGAGAAGATAATAATATCATTTGCATATAAAAGATGTGAAATTCTATCTCCATTTGGAGACAGCCGAATACTAATGGTATCTTTTTTTTTTTTTGTTTAAAAGCATTAGACAGCATTTGGGAACATAAAATATAAAGAATTGTAGACAAGAGACATCCTTGTCTGAACCCACTTCTACCATGAATCCAATTTGAAAGATTCCCATTGATCAAAACAGAGTACTTGACATCTTGAACACATTCCATAATCAACTTTGAGAAAAGAGGAGGGAACCCAAGATATTCCATAGCTTTCTCCAAAGTTAACCAACCCATCGAGTCATAGGCTTGCTCCATATTTATTTTAATAGATACGTAGCCTTTAACTGATTTAGCACTTCTAAATTTGTGCATTATATCCTGAGCTACCAATACATGATCTGATAAACTCCTCCCTTTAACAAATGCAGCTTATTCATTTGATATTACTTTAGAAACAAGTGTGTGGGCTCCAAAAATTCGGCCCCGGCATCCGCTCGCTTTTTCTTTCTCTCTCTCAGTTTCTCTGGATCGGACAAAGAAGAGGACGGGGCTCAGGTTAGGATCGACGGGAAGAAGAGGAACTGGAGGCGGGTTAAGCCTCTGTCCAAGAGCAGGCGTCGGGTTGCTAGGTTTGATCGGACAGAGAAGTAGAAGGGAGATTGTGAAATGGGGAGTGGAGTCGAGCGTGGAAGGAGCAGTCGAAGCCTTCATCTCTTCGATATTTAACGTCGCGAAAGGCGTCTAGTTGGCACGCGATTTGGGCAGAGTTTCTGGGAAGCGATGCAAACGGCGCCGCATGTACAGTATTTCAGCGAGATTTGAGCAGAATTTCGGCTGTATTTGCGGGATTTTAGCAGAGGTATGTAGGATTTCAGCGTAGGTATGTTGTATATATTTTTATTTCTTTTGGGTTTTATCCAGAGATCAACAAATGCCCCCCGACAAATGTGGTAGGCGTTTGGAGTGGGCCACGTTTGTTGTATGCTAATTGACCCTGTGGATATCTAGATATTTGTTCTAGATGTCACACTAAGTCTTTCATTTAGTAGATCTCCAAGAATTTTCTTGAATGTCACACTAAGATTCTCATTTAGTGGATCTCCAAAAATTTGTTTGGATGTCACACTAAGATTTTCATTTAGCGGATCTCCAAAAATTTGCTTGGATGTCACACTAAAACTTTCTTTCTCCATAGATCTCTTGAATGTATACTTTGAAAAAGAAATCTTTGCATTTTTTAGTACAAAATAACATTTGAATTAATAATTTTAAATATTTATTCGGGGATCTCGGCATACAGCGCGATGTCGACCCGAATAAATATTTAAAATACCCCCTGTATCGCAGGGACATTTTAAAATGGAATAAACTTAAAATTTTGAGATTTTAAATATTCATTTGGGGATCTCGGCACGCAGTTCGATGTCGACCCAAATGAATATTTAAAATGCTCCCTATCTCGCAGGGACATTTTGGATAGGCTTTGTATCTTTGTAGTTTTAAATATTTATTCGGAGATCTCGGCACGCAGAGCGATGCCGACCCGAATAAATATTTAAAATGCCCCCAATCTGATGGGGGGTTTTGAAATGCATTCTTGTTATACAAGAGAATTTCAAAATATGAATGTAAGCATGTATTGATAAATACGCACATAACACTTTGATCATCATAAATTACATTAGTCATGAAATTTTTATGCATAATATTTCTTTAAATGTCGGCCATTGATGGGCTGTATGGGTCTCTGGCCGTTCAGATCAATCAACTGATATGCTCCCCCTTTGTACACTTTCTCGATGACGAAGGGGCCTTCCCAATTGGATACGAATTTGCCACCAATTTTTTTGTGTGGGATGATTGGTCTTCTCAGCACCAGGACCAATTCCACTTGTGTGGGATATTTTTTTAAATGTCCGAGGACGCACCATACGATCGAAGGATTTTGCCATTCTTCCTCGGTAAATTTCCAAGTTTTGTTGAGCTTGCAGTCTGAGTTTATCAAGTGCATCGAGCTCTTCCATTCTGAGGCAGGCATTTTGCTCTTGAGTGAGATCATTCTGAATTGCTACCCGGAGTGACGGTAGTTCAATCTCTAATGGTAATACGGCTTCGACACCGAACACCAATGAATAAGGAGTGGCTTTGGTCGGCGTCTTGTAGGTCGTATGATATGCCCACAACGCTTCCACCATTTTTGTATGCCATTCTCTTTTGTTCTTAGTGATGATCTTCTTCAACAATTTCATCAACGTCTTATTGAAGGCCTCTGCCAATCTATTTGCCCTTGGATTGTATATGGATGAATATCGCCAATCGATTTTGTGCCGATCAACGAACTTATAGATTTTTGTACTCTTGAATGCATTACCGTTGTTTGAGATTATACGACGTGGTACACCAAATCTGTAGACAACATTGTGGGTGAAAAAGTTGATTACATGTTCGGACGTAACCTCTCTGAACGGAGCTGCTTCTACCCACTTGGAAAAATAGTCCGTTGCTGCTAGAATGAAACGGTATCCCGCTGATGATGGCGGATCTATCGGCCCAATTATGTCAATGCCCCAACATTCAAATGGCCAAGATGCTATTGTCGGGTGCAGAGGATTTGGAGGCTGATGTATAACATCATCGTGGATTTAATAATCGTGGCACCTCTTAGCGTGGTCGATACAATCTTTTACCATTGTCGGCCAATAATAATCCATTCTCTTGATTTTTGCAGCCATCCTGGGACCTGACTGATGTGCTCCACAAAGCTCTTCGTGGACTTCTGATACCACTTTATCAGCTTCCTTGGTCCCTAGGCACCTTAGCCACATTTGATCAAAAGCTCGTCTGTACAACGTGTCATTGACAAATACATATCGCAACGCCTTTTTTCGAATTTGTGCGGTCATAGACTTTTCTGTCGGGAGTTTGTTTTACTTGAAGTAGTCAATAAATGGCTGCCTCCAATCATTTTCGACTTCAATATCTAAACAATGCCACCACGATTCTGAACCTTGACTAGCTTTACGTCTCTTGGCCACATGATATTCTTCTTGATAATTCTCCATAACGATCTAATGGAGGGGTTGAGGGTCAACTGACACTTTATCTTGCTGGCTTGAATCTGGTATTTCTTCTGCCCTCGGGATTTGTAATAGAGCGGGCTCTAAGACCCTACGAGTTTAAACCCCAATGAATATAGGCCTCTCCTCATTGATGTTCGTCATTTCTTTGGCTAATTTAGCCAGACAATCTGCTTTAGCTTTCTGTCCTCAAGGAACTCGAGCTATTTCAACATTTAGAACTTACTTCAGAAGTTCAAGAGCTCGTCGGTGTTAATGGGCCAATTCAACT